ATCATAGTTCGTCTGATTAATATTAAAGAATTCAGTCCGTACCGCGAAGAAAACACCGCACTTCACCATTACGAAGATCAACCGGTTAACGCCGTTTAAGGAAATAATCGCTGTTTATTCTGAGAATCACACGAAACAAATAATAGACTGTAAATTTATAGAAACACGCATTTAAACATTAAACATTCATCTGACCAACCAACAAACGCAGTTTAATATCTGCTCAATTTCCCCCACCTCGTTCCAGTTCTAATTTTCTTAGCTTTCTCTCTTCGAAACGCCTGCCTTTAACAGTTAGGCGAAGGACGAGTGGGCAGTGTCTGGGGACCTTCGTAGTAGCGAATTTAATTTATTCCCACCTTTAAAATTCGCAGTCTGTACCAGTGAAATTTATGCACAAAACTGGGTGGATAAATAGCGTAACTTTGCTTAGCCCCACTACGCAGACCGAGAAACATCTGACTGAAAGAATGCGCGTTTAACAACTTCCTCGATCTTCTCGTGTTCCTCCTGCCATTCAAACTTCTTGTCTCAGAACAAAATTGCGGGGACGAGGGTCGCGTTGTCACATCCAGGGAAATGAAGGGCTCGTGATGAAAACACGTGGAGCGTTGCCTTTGTGGTTTGACGCTTGTACGGAGAGACAGTTTCGGGTTTATATCAGGGTAATTCGCACGATATAAAAGATTCTTATCTTGGCTTTCACGAATAAGCTAGAGGTCGGCTCTGACTGCATCCGACGTTTCCGAAACGTGCCATCCAGGTCACCAGCAATTCGTAATGAAATTTAACAACAATTTTGTTTCGGGAGTTCTGTTTCACATTTTGTCAACTTGTGTCTGAGTTAGATACGATTTTGGAAGCTTCCAGGAGTGTACAAAATCTGCTTCACCCTCAATGGTTGTCACAAATAATTGAACAAAATCATAATAAATGCAAAAGGCTTGGTATAAAAATCTAAGTCTTTAACCCTAACAGAAGAACATGGACCGAGGGTGTTTGAGAACAGGGCGCCGAAGAGAATATCTGGACCTAAGAGGGATGAAGCGACAGGAGAATGGAGAAAACTGCATAATGAGGAACTTTATAACTTTAGTTTAATGTGAATGACGGATCATGTAGTACGCATTTATGACATGAGAAATACGTATACAATTTTATTATGTAAATCTAAATGGGAGAAACAATTTGATAGACCTAGGCGCATTTGGGAGATAATATTAAAACGAATCTTAGATAAACTGTATGTTGTAATCATCGAGCTGTGGATGCAGTTGACGAGAGGTGACTGTCAACAAACTTTGGGTTCTGTAAAAGGGAGGTAATTTCTTTGGACGATGCGTGGAGCTGACGGAGACAAAGGTCGTTTTGCTGGTGTATGAGAGTGTATCGACCGGGCGTGGTGATGATTCCTGCCGCAGTCAGCTGCACTGGCTGAAGGTTACACTCAATGGGTGGATGGGATGTACGCGGGCCTACACACAAACCTCAGACTGAAGAAACCCCCGCAGGCCGATAGAACAATACCGTTACGAGGGGGCGGGGGGTGAGTCCTGCTTTCCTTGTAGGCTCCACCAGATTCCACGACGCATCGGTGGTAAGAAAACCACTGCTAGATAAACACTTGACGAAGAACAAGATGACTGTCCATCATTACAAGCAGCGCGAAGTCCTGGATGCGGTCTGTCCTGACACTACTCTACAGATTATCGCAAAATTACTCCAAAACCTTTAGTTTCAAAAGTAAGTAAAAAAATTTAAAGCGTTCCCACTATACGCCAAGAAGGCGCTTGGGTGGAGAGGTAGTATAGTTCCTACTCATTCTTGACCTCGGCACTAGATGGGGTGAGTGAGTGTCACGCTCCGGTCTCGCTTTGCCCCCGGAGAAAGGACTCCGGTATCCATTGGACAGGAGGCTGGGTGGGCCCCAGAGCCGGTCTGGGCGCAGAGGCTACAGGAGGAAAGTCCGTCGAGGATCAAACCCCGGACGTCAAGTCCATAACAAGTCACAATGAGCTACCACGGCTATATATATATATAAAAAAATTTGAAAGTGACTTGTCTCCTGGGATGCTTCTCCATGTAGATCGCGTGTAAAATGGCTAAACTTAAGGCAGCTTTGTGCAGGAAATTCCGTACCAAACATTTAAACAGAGGGTGAGTATTAATAACATATGAAGCATGAACTTACATAGTTCATTTAGGTGGAGTTGCTTTGAAGACTTTCGCTCAAAGGACGGAAGTTTAGACAATGAATGAAGACGATTTCACTCGCCAGTCAATGACAGCAGGTATGTCATTACTCTGAAAAGAGCGGGCAGCACCAACAATGAATGAAAAGTCGAGTGTTGCATTCCTTATGCGTCTCACAGATTCTCCAGACTGACTCCGCGTTGTGTCGCCAAAGTCTGAAGTATCTGTGTTTCACGGGAGAACATACTCGCCCTTCAGAGAAACACAAAAACACTCTCTGTGCCCCATCCTCTTTGCTACAGCAGAGAACACAGCGATGTAATGTTTCTTTGCCCCGTACGTTTGTCAATGTACACAAATTCACAAATTATGGAACAGATGTCAGCGTCCCATAAATAAAAATACTTTACTGTGGCGAGAACAAAGCCAAATCGCGAAACGTAGGTTACAGTTACATTAAATATATAACAATGGATAACACCCATGTAACAGAGCCACATTTTAGAAGCTGGGAGTCTCTCAGCTGGTCAAAAAATATACAATAAAACATTTTATGAAACTCGAAGGTTCATTAACTTGTTCACAAGATCAAATCACTAGTCCCTACCCTGTGCCAGATCAATTCAGTCCATACTTCACAAATTTATTTCTGCAAGAGTCATTTTAATATTATTATTCCATCTACTCCTATGTCGGCCGAGTTCTCTCTTCTCTTCAGGTCTTCCGACAAATATTTTGGTGTGCATTTCTCGTGCGAATGAGTTGGAAGTTTACATCGTTCCTGGTTTACTCCTCCGACGACTTATATACGAGAAATCTCAAGCGTAACCGCCGATTAGTGATGGGTACAAACTGTAGAAAGTTCTGATTTCGTTCCTGAAGTGTCCGGAGACCTAGCAGTCGTCGTCCAGACCTACTCGCTGTTTTTCAGGGTCCCCGACCTATCCATGAAGACCTACAAACAACTCCGATGACTGGATTCCTTTTCCTGGCAGGTCGACAGGTCTCGTGATAAATTTCACCTCCTGACATATCCCTCCCTCCTTTCACAGAAATGTGTTATCTACGCCGACTTCTATTGTCCACCTCCCAAAGACACGGGTGTCCCTCCCCATAAGCTGTGTCCTGTTACGAGCCAAACACTGAAGAGGTCCCACGTGATAAAACTTTCTTCCTTAAAATAATCGTATAACAAACCCCCAAAGTCTTAACCGTAGTTGTTCAGAGGCACGCCTCATTTAATATTAGGGTGGGCCCCAGACCAAACCGCGAAGAAAACACCACACTTCACCGTTACGAAGATCAACTGGTTAACGCTGTTTAAGGAAATGATCGCTGTTTTGATTTCTCAGACTTACACGAAACTCACAAATACACTACAGATAATACAGAGTTAATGGGTGTTAAATGAGTTGATATATTCTGGGCCTGATAAGATAATATTTTTGATGATTGCGTCTCTACTGCTTTAGATTTTCAGGTCGTTTTTGACTCGCAAATGCCGATGTATAAATATTTTTCACAAATAAACAAATACAAACCTGAAAATGGCGCGATGTGCAAACTATGAATTATTAGCTACCTGCAATTTCTTTCTACGAACAAAATAGCAGTAAAACAATCTCAATGAAAATTTGTACAATGGAAGAGCAGGCTTTATTAGTCCTGTGGCATCCTTTGTTGCGTGTGATTTTATTAGAATCATCAGCAGATGTAGGTCCTGGGGAAGTAGATAATGAACTGGCCATTACTACAAATAAGGAGGTGTAGAAAAAAAAATTACCGCCCACAGAAGAGAAACTGTGGACCTTAACTTCCAGCAACCACACCTGAGAATTCTTAGCAAACCATAATCACCCAATCATTTTCTATTGCTCTTATAGCAGACCAAAACACATCACTAAACAAAAACCAATATGTTAGAAGCACCGTCTTCAACAGATTTAATGCGTTTTAAGTGTAAATCATTTATCATTCTTGTTAAGAGACAGACAAGATTAAAAATAATCATTCTTATCTTTCTCCCTTCTACGTAGGTACTTCATAAATAAGAAAGCAAACTTGTACTTTGTAAGTGCGTCTTCACGCTGGTCGCATGTCATCTGTCACTTGTTTTATTTGTGGCAGGAGACACGACTGCACTCTGGCGGTAGAAGACTGCAAGTCACGCAACATCAGCTGATTGCTTCATCTCTGTATGCACCACCCTTACACGCTGTTTCTCCGAACGCAATTAAACTTAAAAAAGCAAGGCAAAATACGAGAACACAACGTCTGTGTACTTAGAAGGCTCCTCACTTTCCTGAAACAAAGCCCACGTGTTTCTGAGTGGCGGTCCACTTGTAGCCTACCTGTCAAGGAACCGGCGAATAACGCTTACTTACTCATTTCATCTCCAGCTGTGTTATTTACATCTGCGTTAGTTAACTCACAACAGGTGAGCCATACGTTACCAAAACAAACAGCTACACGGACAATTAAATTGTTCCAATACCAACGAAGAGCGACGTCTATGTTGAATTTCTGGGATAAATATGGCCCTGAAGATGGAGGGAGTATGTTCCTCCGAAACGTTGCTATATATTTATAAGTCCACGCGGCGTTACCACCCGGAAGGACCGACACAGACTGCGATGTGATTGCTCAAATACGAAGTATCACTGAATTAAGGACCTGTTTAACAACGATTGACGGGAAACATCTTCGCAGGCGAGATGTCTCTCGAACAGACAAAGTGGGAGTTGGGGCGACATTAAGACGAAGTGAGACACAAGCTAGAAATAGAAGTTTATGTATGCATTACTTACTCAGACAGGGTGAAATGTTGACGAATCCTGGATTCCGTTGTGATTGAACGGTCCTGCCTCCTGGAAAAAGAACGTATTACTTATTGACAACGTAATTACTTTACTAGACAAGGGAAGAGAAAATAAAATGACAAAACATTGGAAAGAACTCTATTCGAGCCGTACAAAACACATCGGCGGGCCACGGCTTGACAACTCCTGCTGTAGGCCTTTAGAAGCATTTAGCAGCTACTGGACAAGAGACCAAGTGGGCCTCTGATAACGAGGAGAAAATTCCGTACCCACTTAAATGACCAAGCTACAATGTCATTAATAAATAGTATTTAACAATTCAACCCGTACCGCGAAGAAAACACGACACTTCACCATTACATAGATCAACTTATTAACGCTCGTTTTAATCAACCCTTTGATGCCGAAGCTCGCCTAAACAACATTTAAGAATTCAGTCCGTACCGCGAAGAAAACACAACACTTCACCATTACGAAGATCAACTTGTTAACGCTGTTTAAGGAAATAATCGCTGTTTACACAGAGAATCATATTAAACCTATAAATACACTGTGTACAAAATGAGAAATCACTACCAAAACAGGTGGTACATATAGTTACCACTGCATTTAAAGAGGTTAGACAGAAATAAGCATTTGAGATTTAAGCACATAAAACCACGCGCAGTTTCTTAGCCAGAGATCAAGATATAAATTAATATATTTCGCATAGGATATGAAGAAGGAAATTACATCGGATATTACAAACGATATCAGATGTTCAGGCGCAATAATTATTTTTGTTGCACCTGATATAATTAATGGGTTGGAGAGGTAGGAGCATTCATCAAAGGTCTATCAATATTCTCGGTAGCGGTGCATATATTTGAACCTGATTATACACCCATGAAACTGATTCGGATATTGCAAAGTGATGCAAAGGGAAGTTGATTAATTACATCATTTACCATTATCTGATTTTGTATCACACACATTCAGGTAAAACTGCACTATCAGGTGGAAGGAGTGATGGATTAGTTTGTTCGATCGTGATTTGCTACCACTGAAGCTCTGTTCCTGCAATGAATGGATAATTCATGAAACGTAAATATCACACTGGCGATGAGTACACGCTGCAACACTCCAGTCTCCCTTGCACCAATCATATTTTACGCGTGTAACGCTGTAAATGGGTAAGAGCCACTGTATTAAATAGTTGCTACTTTGGCAAGTTTGACAACAACAAAAAAGTGACCGTCGGTTCGTAACGATTTTTTTTAAAATTACTTGTTTCAGCCGTTGCCACAGTAACGCGGGTCTCTTAGGATAATTTATATATTTATTTAGTGTTCTGTCTGACGACAGGTCCATATGAACAGGATCCTTCCATCCTTTTCTCGGACTGGGACCTGTTCATATACGTTCTTGGCAGATGATCCAGAAGTGGTTTGCCATTGCCTTCTTCTGTGTGTGAATGGAGTAATTGTTGGGATGCCACGGAGGAAAACTCCGTGTTGCCTAGACCACGGCCTTGCCCAACACAAGTTATAAATTCGGGCACCGCCGGGAATCGAACCCGAGACCCCAGGATTACAAGGCCAGAGTTCTAACCGTTAGACCACCGTGGCGCTTAGGACCTTAAATTTTTCCATCATAATTGACGGGTAACTTAGATGTGAACCCGGGAACTCCAGAATATGACTCGGGAGTGCTAACCACTCGACGACAGCGATTGGTGTTGGACCTTCCGAGGTTTAATAAAGGCGTTTCTTTGTCAGGTGAAGAGGCCTCCAAGGTCTGGAGAGAGGTCCTTGCGTGTGGTGAGGACCCTCCACCCCTAAGATTGACGCTTTCATATTTACTTACAGAAATGTTTCTGAATCTTATTCTGTGCACTGAACACAGAAGACGAATGAACAACGTAGTCTCGTCACCAAAGGCACAAGATGTCAGTTTGCGAAGTTAAAATGGAACGCTCAATATAGCCAGCGTCGGAATTACGTACACTAACATACTCGTTTAGAAGCCACTAGTTTCTCAGCTGGTAAAGAAATTCCAAAGATGTTTATGAAATCTGGATGTTTACTTTGCAAGACAAGAGTCCGACACTGATCCGTACCGCGAATCAGACGAATTTGCTCCACACCAAATTTTTAAAGATTCATTTTAGTATTATACTCCCATTAACGAAATGAGTTAAAATATGATATAACAATAATAATAAGCAAGGAGTAAAATTTTATTGCGTAGTGAATATTTCAGGTAATTTCAATTCTAGTAGAAACTGGTTCGTATTACCGCTCTTGTGTGTTACCACGGATATTTCTTTTCACTTTGTACTAAAAGTGAAAGCAGGTGGTACATATATTTCCTACTGGGATTTCAATGGTTAAATTGTGTACATGTACAGTGAAGTTATAAACAAATAGATCATTTTTATTACACTACGGATAGAATTAACAATTATAATATTATGTCTTAAGAACAGAATTTAATAATGAGGTTTATTATACGATTTACGAACGCACAAAGGCACAAACTCTGTTCACGAAACTGCGTCGGTATTTGTCTAATTTAAAATTATTGAACCTTTTATTATAAATAAAATCCTCCGTAGAATTACCGTTACCAAAAATAAATCTGTAACTGAAAGACAGTGCTGACACCTTACTACAAAGGAAGTCAAATCTGTGGCTGCCCGGAAGATATCCCAGTTTTATCTGAAATGACTGTAACCTTGGAAACTGAGCTGTAGAAAGAGGAATCAACTTGCGTGCAATTATCCATAAAATTTTATGCATACTTTCATGATTATCTTGCCCCGGAGGGATAAATTGCTTCTGTAACACCAGTGGAAAAGCAGGGGCCGGCCGTATCCACCAGACACTTCGACACACCGGCCAAGCGCTCGGAATGTCAGAGGAATCTATAATTGCGTGTTTGTAGACATTCCATAAATTCTGCCTTTGCATGCAAGTCATCTTCACGACCAACACTTTTTAGGAGACAGACGTCCTGTCTCACTTAAAATAACAAATTAATCTCTACTTACAAGCAAGGAACCATTAAACATCGCTGAAGAACATTCCGCCGATTCCTGTCCAATACGGACTTACACTAGTTCCTGTTTTAAATATGTAATTACAGTCCTTCGTAATGGATCTGAGAACTTTCTTATTCGACCAATCAGGGATTAGAACACACATATTACTCCTCGCATTAAGGCTTTGACCGGGATGTTCTTTTGTTAAATCTTATGTGGTACCGCCTGATTCGACTTCTAATGGTTAAGTGAAGTGTTTTCTTCGCGGTACGGTCTGGATTCGTAAATATTATGAAGACGAGCTTCGGCTTCAAAGGGTTAACCAGCTGATTTTCGTAATGGTGAGGTGTAGTGTTTTCTTCGCGGTACGGACTGAATTCATAAATAATATTCAGACGATCTTCGGCTTCAAAGGGTTAACCAGCTGATTTTCGTAATGGTGAGGTGTAGTGTTTTCTTCGCGGTACGGACTGAATTCATAAATAATATTCAGACGATCTTCGGCTTCAAAGGGTTAAGCACGATCATGAAAAAAAAAACTTTTCTACTTATATCTGACATTTCAATTTTTTATTCTGAGGAAACTAACGCGATCTCTTCCCCAACTTACTGCCTCCATCTTCAGGGTGATCTTAATTAAATAAGTTAATACTAATTATGTTTGATTTAAACACTTCATACCGAGCAGAAAAATTAATAGAGATTTGAGCTCGTTCGAAATTAAAGTTGCAAAACTTCGTCTTGTTTTAAGTTCGTCATCTGTCTGCCCGGCGGCATGGATCAAATCGAGAGTGGCTAAATGGAATTTCATTTAATTCTATACCAAGAAATTTTGATGAATCCGTCAACACAGGTCAATCGTGGTCAACATCGAGCGGCGAAAGACGCAAATACTGCTTCGCATAAAGACCTGCACGCGTTTATGCGCTCGGAAATGACTTGGAGGGGAATCCCCCGTAAACAATCCAGCCATGTGGGGAATCCTCCGGAAATGTCTGCCCAGCCAGACATCCAGCCCATAAAAATGTTAGTAGACAACATTAACATCATTGGTGCCATTTTAAATAAGGTAAAGTCAAATTCTGGTGAAATTTCAGAACTGTTACGCTATTCATAAATTTCCAAAATTACTTTTTATCTCCTCGATATTTGTTATTCACACTTATTCTACAGCACCTTCATTACGTTCATAACTATCGTTGTACATATTTTTAAGTGTCCGGCGAAAGACATTTCAAACTGTAAACTCATAAATGCAAGACAGGTACTAAGCACAGCTGTTGGGATGTAGTGGTTTCTGACTTTCGAGTCACGCTGTATACTACATATCGGTGGGTGTATGATTGTGGGGCCTCCCCCAAACCTTACGACTTCTTTTTGGAATTCCTTTATCATCTCAAATTAAACATTCTTCACGTTTCTTTTTCTACACTAAGCTATTTGGCGTTTTGTTTTAAATAATTATTATTTTTAAATTGAAGCCAGTCTCTGTGTGATGGGACATGTTTTATATAAGACATGTAATTAGCTTATACTCAGATACAGCTTCTGGTATTACTACAGAATCCCCACCCCAGTGAACCACCCTGCTTATAAGGTAAAATTGCTTCGGATGCTTTATGAGAAGAACGTGTATAATTTTAAGACCAGTGGGATGGGCTGATTACGTTGAATTCTTTTTTTTTTAACACAATGCCTACAACAAGATGGTGGACCAAAGCAAAATACAGCAGCAGAACGCCATGGCGGTAAAATTTAGCGGTAGATAATTATTTGTGAAGCCAAAGCAAGAATGAGAGAAGCTTCCGAGATGTTCAACAACAGAAATGCGATCTCAGAGCCAGGGGCTCTGAGGTGTTAAACGGAAGAAACACGACTTCTGTGATGTTACGCTGTGTAGTCTAGTAAAAGGTTACCGACGTTTCAGAGTCGCTTGCTGTCTCCATCACCAGGGCAACATTTCACTTCGAATATTTTATTTAAAAAAGATCACTTTGGCAACCTAAGCACAGAGGGGAAGATAATA